GAGGCCAGCCATTTTGGACCTAGGGCTGCCCATATAAACAGGGCAGTTTTGCTGCTGGAGGCCAGGCAACAACATCTCCTGGCCGTAGGGCTGCTGGTATCATCTGGAGGTAAGGGAGGAGCTGTAGGAGATGGTCAGGAGGGTCCTGGTCTTGGGTATGACCTAAAACTGTACTCTGCTGGGAGTGGGTGGCCTGGTGGGACTCTGTGGCACGGGAGTCCCCAGGAAATGCCAGGCCAGTTATCACCCTGGTGAAAGGTGGGTCAGGGCGCCTTAACCCTAGCCCTCACCTTCGGGTGGATTTGTGTTCCATTGGAAGTAGTTGCAGGGGTGCAAGCCCCGATGAGGAGAGTGGGGGCCAAGTACAGCCGAGGCTGCCTGAGCCCTGTGGGGTGCAAGCCCTGAGAAGGAGAGTTAGGGCCAAATACAGCTGTGGCCACCTGAGCCCTGCAGGGGTTTGAGACCCTGAGGGGGAGAGTGGGGCCAGGTATGGCCGAGGCGGCCTGAGCCCTGCGGGGGTGCAAGACCCCGAGAGGGAGAGTTGGGGCCAGGCACGGCTATGGCCACCTGAGCCCAACAGGGAGCAGCCCCCTCCCCCCCCCAATAGCCCCAGTGAGGGGGTAGCCCCAGCAAAGGGGGCCAAGATCTGTAGCCCCAGTGAGGGGTGGTGTGCTAGCTCCAAGGGAGGGGCAGAGTAATGGAGCCTCTGGAGGCACAGAGTATGGGAGCCTCTGTGAGGGGGTAGCCCCTAGTAAGGGGCAGAGATCTGAAGCCCCAGTGAGGGGGTGATGTGGAGCCCCAAGCAAGGGGAGCAGGCCCAGGTAAGTCTCCGGATGCCTGAGGCCTAGTGAACAGGGGGCCTCAACCCCAGAGCGAGAGAGGTGAGTCCTGACTGGAATAAGTCCTCCACTGCTGGGAGACAGAGTGAGTTGAAAGTAACATCCGAAGTAGCACCATGACCTGCTGCCCCAGGGGGGAAGTGAAAGTACCCTGTGAGACCCTGGGGCACCAGTCGTGGTGTGAGGTACCCCAGCTCCCCAAGTTCAGGAAGGGGGACCCAGAGAGAGTATTGGCTAGTGAGGTCGGAGGTAGAGTGCCCCCTTGACTGGTCCGTGCTGGGGCCAGGACCAAGAAGGTCAAAAGGGCCAGGGGCCCACCGTGAAGGGCACCCAGAGTCATGGGCCTGGGGAGCCCGCCTGGCTTTTGAGGTGAGGCTAGGGCCTGCGTAGGGCCGAAGATCCTGAGTAGGGACTATGCCCGAGAGGGGAGCCAGCTACGTGGAGCTCAGCAGCCCGGATGAAGGCGACGTAGGCCACTGGAGCGGGGGGAACCAAAGGAAGGTCCTATGGGGAGGATTCTGGAGCCTAGTGTGGGGCTGGTGTGTTTGTAACATCTGGATGCCATCTGCGAGGCTTGGGCTGCGGTGTAGGGGAGGATAGGAGCTGCAGATAGTGCCCCTGGCATCAGGGCAAAAAAATGGGCAGCCCCCCCGCATTATTTAACAGCTTATTAATTTTTCAGCAAGTCATGGCGGGCAAGACAGGCGGGCGGCATGCCCGGAGGCAGGTGGGAGGCCGGTGACAGCTGGCCCGACAGGAGCCCACTTTGCTACAGTCACTCTGGATCCTAACCCTACTCTCCAGTGTATCTACTGCTCCCCCCAGATAGGTGTCATCTGCAAACCTGCTGAGGATACACTTTATACAGGTCATTGATGAAGACATTGAACAAAACCGGCCCTAGGACTGACTCCTGGGGTACTCTACTTGATACCAGCTGCCACCTAGACATCGAACCATTGATTGCTACTCTTTGAGCCTGATGCTCCAGCCAGTTTTCTGTCTATCTTACAGTCCACTCATCCAGCCTATACTTCCTTAGCTTGCCTGTGAGCATGTTGTAGGAGACGGTATCAAAAGCCTTGCTAAAATCAAGGTACATCACATCTACTGGTCTCCCTGCATCCACAGTTACCTCATCACAGAAGTCAGGTTTATCAGGCATGATGTGCCCCTGGTGAATCCGTGCTGACTATTCCTAATCACCGTTTTCTCCTCCAAGTGCTTAGAAATGGATTCCTTGAGGATCTGCTCCATGATTTTAGGCTGAATGGTCTGTAGTTTCCTGGATCCTCCTCTTTCCCTTTCTTAAATATGGGCACTATGTTTGCCTTTTTCCAATCATCTGGAACCTTTCCTGATTGCCATGGGTTTCCAAAGATGATGGTCAATGGCTCTGCAATTACATCAGCCAACTTCCTCAACACTTTTGGGTGCATCCCATCTGGCCCCATGGACTTGTACACATCCGGCTTTTCTAAATAGTCCCTAACCTGTTCTTTCAGCACTGAGGGCTGCTCACCTCTTCCCCAAACTGTGCTGCCCAGCACAGTAGTCTGGGAGCTGACCTTGCCTGTGAAGACTGTGGTCAAAAAGGCATTGAGCACTTCAACCTTTTCTGCATCCTTTGTCACAAGGTTGCCTCCCCCATTCAGTAAGGGACCCACGTTCCCTGATCCTCCTCTTGCTACTGACATACTTTTAGAAACCCTTCTTGTTACCCTACACATCTCTTGCTAGCTGCGACTCCAGTTGTACTTTGGCTTTCCTCTCTTAATCCCTTCATGCCTGAGCAGTGCTCTTATATTCTTCCCTAGTTGTTTATCCAAGTTTTCACTTCTTATAAGCTTCCTTTTTGTGATTTAGTTTACTGAAGAGTTCCATGCTAAGTCAAGCTGGTCTTCTGTTATACTTGCTAGTCTTCCTGCACATTGTGATGGTATGTTCCTGCACTCATATTGCTCATTATCCATTACTCGTATCGACATGAATCTGGCTCTTACCAAAAATATCCTGGTTCATGGAGGCAGTGCAGCTGATTAGGAGAGAGAGGCCCTTCTATCACTAGCTCCAGGTTGTATTTCTTTCCCCTTAAAGACATTTAGATTTCATGATCCTTGAGAAATAATGCTATGTAAACATATGTTTCATGGCTTCTGAGACTATTTTAAAATGCAGTATTTTTTGTTAGACTTTTATGTTAGTCACTGGAAAAAATCTGATTTTATTGTTGGGAGAGATGTAATAAGTGTTCAGAACATCTAATTATTATCCAGAAATATTTTTAATAAATTTCATTTGAATTCTCTTATTGGAATGTAATGTTTGGTTAATATTAATATCAACTTGGATGGCATAAATATATTTTGCTTTGATGTAGGACATTATGATGAAAGAGGGGGGACCGTCTTAATCAGAGAGATTTTTCCCAGAGACCCTGGTTTTGGCCAGCCCTAGTGTTGGAGTCAAGCCTGTCAAACATCTGTTCTTCTCTGTTCTGTCTCCGCTGTTTGTGTGTGGGGTTTTTTGGCTTGTTTGTATGTTTTAGTTGCAATATGTGCTAGCATACTGAAGTGTGTTTTTGAACCAGTGGGGGAGAAAAAGCATACATTCTTAATGTCTTGGAAATTACGTTCTATAATTGCCTTATTCTAATGCAAAGAAGTATTTAACTGCTGAAGATAATGGCTCTAATACCTTTCCCATTTCTGCTTTCTTAATAGGTTACAAAGACAGAATTGGAAAAATTAAAAGCTAGTTATAGACAATTAATAAAAGAAGTAAATTCTGCCAAAGAGAAGTATAAAGAAGCTGTGGCTAAAGGTATGTTGTTACTGCCTGATACAGTATTACTGGTAGCTGTAGCTCTTTTTTTAATATTGCCTTGTACTAACATTTTTTTGCAATAAAACAATGATATTTCTGTTCTGTTGAGTGAGACAGAACAAGGCCGCTACTACACATGGAGGTAAAGGCGCGCTGGGATCTAAAATGCAATTCACATAATCATGCCTCTTGCCAGGCCCATGTGCCTGGCAGGAAGTGCGATTGTGGGATTGCATATTAGATCTCATTGCACCTTATTGCCAGTACAGGGGGGGAGCCTGATACTGGGCTCCCTCTGCATGGGCAAGAAGCAAGCTCTCATGGCTGGGAGCCCCCTCAGCTGATGGCACCTGTGGTGATCTCCCCATTCCATGGGTTTCACATGCCTCTGAGGCTTGGAGATTGTGGCTCTGGTGATCTTCCTGCCTGAGGGGTTTCATGGGCCCGTGGGCCTGGGATACCATAGCTGTGTCCTGTGTCTCCTGGGACTCAACCATAGGGTGCTGCCAGGACCCAGAGTCTGCAGCTGCTGGGGCTGAGAGTTGCCAGGAGTTGTCCCACAGCTCACGGGGCTCCCAGCTTCAGGGAATACCCTGCTACATGTGCAAATTAAAGTTTAATAACAACTAGCTATAAAGTTAGTACATGTTTTTGAGGTCTAACTTTATAGCTGATTAAAGCTTTTCATTGTGTGATAGCTGCCCTGCATGTGTAGCCTGTCTTAAGGTAATTGTGTATTTAACTAGTTAATTGTGCAATACTTGTAACGTGTAGAGGAGGACTCTGTCATAATCTTTGTTTATATATAAATGTTTCTTCTTGATACAGTTATCTAAAAGATTCCTGAGATGTGAATCATTTTGTTTGGGATTTTCCTTTTTCTCTTTAATTGACTGACTTGGAACATAAAATAAACACACGCATACACAGACCTTGTGTCTTGAGCAGAATGCTCAGTGTTTTCCCCCCAATTTAGCATTATCTGTAGTCTGGGATATTTTTAAGGAGACAAAAGAAGTTAGGTGACCAAGCTGAAATTTGGAAGTGCTGAGTGTCTTAATTTGTTGGGGTTCTTTGAAAGTCTCTGTGCTTTAAAGCTTGTGTGTGTATGTGAGAGAGAGAGAGTTATTTGGAATCATAATTTTTTTTCCTTTTGAAAATTATTTTTACCCTTTGTACGTTATATTAATTGAAATTAAATGAACAGTAGAGTGTGAATATAATTACTGTTTCATATTTAACTGTTTATAACATAGTAGTGCCTATAGTACTTATCAGAGAACTGGGTAGCATTGTGCTTAGGCACTACTCTTTCACTAACGAAGAAAAGAGTCCTTGCCTTGCCTCCTTAGATTTCAGACAACCAGTAGATGGATGCAACAAATATCAGGGTAAAAATGAGTTAAAAATTATGTAACAATTACTACTAGCACAGCTGAGCTATTATGGTTTTACTGGTTTTCAGGTGTAAAACAATCTAAATTAATCTGTTTGTTATCATCATGGATCCTGGTTTTCTCTGATTTTAAAAAATCACAAATTCTCTGATAACGCATTATTAAAATTAAAAAGCCCCTGCAGCTACCCCTAGCTCTGCTGGTGCCCCTCACTGCCCCCACATTGGAGCCCCCAGCTGCCAGGGCTATGGGGCAAGGGACACAAGTCTGCAGCTGTCTGCCCCCCCCCCCCCCACCGCAGGCAGCAGCATCATAGAGCCAGCTCCCCCACTGCTCTGACTGCTCGGGTGGGGGTGGGGCCAGCTCCTGGCTCCCCCCAGCCCTGCCAGAGGGACCCCCAGCCCCCTGCAAGCCCCACTGATCTCAGGCACCAGGAGTGAAGCTGAGCTGAGCAGAGCTGTGGCTGACTGAGAGCCTCAGGCCCTGCCCTTCCCTCTCTGCCTTCAGGCAGGTCTGGGGGTTTCCTGTCCTTTTTGCAAATAGCTCTTGCAGGCTGGAGCTCAGCCAGCCTGCAGAGCTCTTTGCAAAGGCAGGGAATCTGCGGGTTTCTCTGCTAAAAGGAGAAATCTGTGGTTTTTTTTTTTTTTTTTTTTTTGTTTTTCCATGGGAAACGGAAAACCAGGATACCTGGTTATCATTCCTTCTGATTCTTAAAGCTGTCACCTACAAATTACTTAACTATGATAGTCTATCTTTAAATAGTCATGTTATCTCTACATCCTTAGGGAATGGAACAAGTTCTGTGATCTCAAAAAGCAGTATTCCTTCCTCTTTTGCTCACTGTGGTCTTATTCTGAATTTGTGTGCACTTGTTGAGAATCAGAGACGGGTTTGGATCCTCTGCTATTGCAAAATTGGGGCTGATGTTTTGCTGCTACGCTGTGCAAGTGAAATTAGTCTTTTGTCAGTGTTCTCAGAGCTATCATAAAAAAGAGCTGTTTTTGTTTGGACTGTTTACTCTATCCTGGTACTGTTTTTCTTGAGCTTCACTTTCATTTGCCTTCTCTTACTAATAGCTTATTCTTATTAAATTAATAGTTAATGTAAAACAGTGTTTCCAGTGTCTGATTTGTAACACTCAGAAGAGATTTGACAGGGTTTTCCATAAGGGCTGCAGAATGTAAACTATGAAGATTTATTTTTGCAAACAAGAAAAGTTCTGTTACAACATTTGGAAAATCAGTACATAATTTTCATAATTTATATGAGCAACCAATTTAAGTTAATGAATTAAACGTGCCTCCTGTAATAGATGAATATACTATGATCTCACTCTCTGTGTAAGAAAGAGAGGAATAACTTTTTTATATTTTTGAACAATGTAACCAAACTGGGAACAGAGAAGTAAACACTGATGTGGCTTTGAGTGAAGGCACTCTATCTAGTCTGCTTTACCTTGTAAGTATGGAAAGGTATATCTCAGTTTTGTTGTGTTTATTTTGCAAGGAGTAGAAAGTGCCTGTTGCCTCATCTCCTAATGAGACTCGCATTGTGAATAATTATTTACATACAAAATGAGAGAGAGAGAGAGAAACCAACAATGTCTTAGGTTTCTGTTTGACCGGCAGAGTATGTCCTCTGGAGCTGTAATTGTAGGCAGGTTAGGAAGCTGCAGATGTGCTGAATCGGGTCCGGTGTTTACAATCATAATATAAATAAAATATGAGTCTCCAAAACTGTCCAGCAGGA